TGATGGTATCCTTGGAAGTATGAAAGATTTTAATTGTGATGGAGTCCAATTTATCTATTTTTTCTTTTGTCACTTGTGCTTTTGGTGTCATATTTAAGAAGACTTTGCTTGACTCAAGGTCAAAAAGTTTTATCCCTAAATTTTCTCTTTTTGTTGTTTTTTTAAGATTTTATTTATTTGACAGAGAGAGACACTGCGAGAGAGGGAATACAAGCAGGGGAGTGGGAGAGGGAGGCTTCCCACTGAACAGGGAGCCCAATGCAGGGCTCGATCCCAGCACCCTGGGATCATGACCTGAGCTGAAGGCAGACACTTAATGACTGAACCACCCAGCTGCCCCTACCCCTAAATTTTCTAAGAGCTTTATAATTTTATATTTTTTAAATATTTTTTTTATATTTTTTTAATCTGACCTTAGGTCTCTGATCCATTTTGAGTTAATTTTTGTACATGGTGTAAGGAAGATGTACAACTTCATCCTTTTACATATGGATATCCAGTTTTCCCAGAACGATTTGTTGAAAAGACTGTTTTTCACCATTGGATTGTCTTGGTACCCTTGTTGAAAACAAATTGACCATAAGTGTGAGGGGTTATGTCAGTACTCTCAATTCTATTCCATTGATCTATATATCTATCATTATGTCAGTACCACAGTGTCTTGATTATGTAGCTTTGTAGTAAGTTTAAGTTTTAAAATCAAGGAATGTGAGTTTTTCAATTTGGTTCTCCTTTTTCAGGATTGTTTTGGATATTCTGGGTCCCTTGCATTTTCATGCGAATTTTAGGATCAGCTTTCATTTCTGCAAAAGGTCGTCTTGAATTGTGGAAGGAATGATATAGAACTGTAGATCAATTTGGGAATACTGCCATCTTAACAATGTTAAGTCTTTTGCTCTAAGAACATGGACTGTCTTTTCACTTATTTAGGTCTTCTTTAATTTATTTCAATAGTATTTTGCCGTTTTCAACCATTTAAGTTGTATACTTCTTGTCTTAAATTTATTTCTAAGTATATTTTGATGCTACTATAAAGGAGTTGGTTTTCTTGTTTTCTTTCAACTATTGCATGAAAAAAAACCAAGGTATATAAGGAGAAGTGGAATGATGTTATAGAGTTCTTATAAAATGTTATATGATCTTGTAGTGTCGAAAAATGCATACCCTCACAAAAAAATTAAAATAAAACCCACTGATACCAAATACATTATTCAATGAGAGAGACAGAACCACCAAAAAAAGATCAGTTTTTCTTATTAGTAGATAAGATCCTTGAGTTCTAATGATTGGGCTCCAAAAATTAAAAGAGGCTACGAATTAATGAATTAATCAAAGATGGAACGGGCCACCTCAGGAATTTTGACTCAATGAGAATGTTTAGAGATAATAAGTCTTTTTCAGCTTCTAGATTCTACCCTATTCATTAGCATGATCTGAACAAGTCCTTAATTTTTCTGGACCCCAGTTATTTCAGCTGCAAAATAAAAGGATGAGACCAAGTGAACACTAAGGTCTCTTCTAATAATGTTCCCAGATTATTACTTTATTAAATTTAGACAACAACAAAAAAATTAATGGCAAGTGGTAATTTCTGCCCCCAAAATAGGCACACTCTTCCTAAGAAGGCACTGTACACAGAAATTTGGTCTCTCTCAAGGTTATATGCTAATGCCTTCCCATTACATATGGTGCTTATGGTCAAAATCTATAAATATACGCATTAACCTTCTTTCCTAATTTTTCTACATTTTCTACAAACTTCATGTATTTTATTATAGCACAAATGTTATATACCCTTCCTTATTACTCATTTTAGTGTTTAAATACCTTTGGTGCCTAACTTGGCCCCTAACTATTTTCCAATTCAGAACATCCTATGGAGAAGGCAGGATAGACTACTACTTAAGTAGTACACTGATTTATAGCAGCTGGAGATAGTCTCCAAGGCTCCTAATGTCCCTTACTTGTTTACCAGTTCTAGAAAATTCTTTATAAAGACTGAGATAACACTGAATACAAACAGGAAAAATGTTTGACTTTAAATTTATAATAAATCAACTGATTTTTGAAAAATTTATCATGTGAAATCCTTTAAAACTGTAAAGTATAATAAAAATAGTTTTTAAAGTATAAAAAAGCATAATAATAATTTTTAACCATTAAAGGTACAGGCACTCAGCATCTGACATGGGAGGTGATGAAAACAGATAGCAAAAAGGGGACAGAATAAACATCTGTGTGATGGGGGCTTTGGAGGAGACATGAAAAATATATACATTGAGGGCCCTGACAATAATCTTTGACTAAGAAACCAATTTGCCTAGGAGATGAATAGATAGATGGATAGATAGAGATAATCTTCTAGGAAAATTGGCAAATATATATGATATGATGTTATATCACATCATATACCATTTGGATGGCAGTAGGAAATTTGGAGAACTTTTTTTGGGCATTAGAAATCACAGTGTATGACACAAAAATAGACACAGAGATCAATAGAACAGAATAGAAAGCCCAGAAATGAACACACAACTATATGGTCAATTAATCTTTAACAAAGCAGGAAAGGATATCCAATAGGAAAGACAGTCAATAGGAAAGACCGTCTCTTCAACAAATGGTGTTGGGAAAACTGGACAGCTCATGCAGAAGAATGAAACTGGACCACTTTCTTAAACCATACAGAGAAATAAATTCAAAATGGATTAAAGACCTAAATGTGAGACAGAAACCATGAAAATCCTAGAGGAAAACACAGGCAGTAACCTCTTTGACACACCGGCCATAGCACCTTCTTACTAGATATGTCTCCTGAGGCAAGGGAAACAAAAGCAAAAATAAACTATTGGGACCTCATCAAAATAAAAAGCTTCTGCACAGTGAAGGAAACAACCAACAAACTAAAAGGCAACCTATGGAATGGGAGAAGATATTTGCAAATGACATATCTAATAAAGGGTTATTAGTATCCAAAATATATAAAGAACTTGCAAAACTTAACACCCCCCCAAATAATCTAATTAAAAATTTCTCCAACAGACACATGAAAAGATGCTCAAAATCACTCATCATCAGGGAATGCAAATCAAAACTACAATGAGATATCACTGCACACCTGTCAGAATGGCTAAAATGAACAACATAAGAAACAACAGGTGTTGGCGAGGATGTAGAGAAAGGGGAACCCTCTTGTACTGTTGGTGGAAATGCAAACTGGTGCAGCCACTCTGGAAAACAGTATGGAGGTTCCTCAAAAACCTAAAAATAGAACTACCCTACGATGTAGCAATTGAACTACTAGGTATTTACCCAAAGAATACAAAAATACTAATTCGAAGGGATACATGCACCCCAATATTTATGGCAACATTATCAACAATAGCCATATTATGGAAAGAGCCCAAATGTCCAATGACGAATGGATAAAGAAGATGTGGTATATACATACAATGGAATATTGCTCAGCCATAAAAAGAATGAAATCTTGCCATTTGCAATGATATGGATGGAGCTAGAGTGTATAATGCTAAGTGAAATAAGTCTGAGAAAGACAAATACCATGTGATTTCACTCTTATGTGGAATTTAAGAAACAAAACAAATGATCCTAGGGGGAAAAAAAACAAGAAACAGACTCTTAACTATAGAGAACAAATTGATTGTTACCAGAAGGGAGGTGGGTGAGGGGGGATGGATTAAATAGGTGGTGGGGATTAGGAGGGCACTTGTGATGAGGACCAGGTGTTGTATGGAAGTGTTAAATCACTATATTGTACACCTGAAACCAATATTACACTGTATGTTAACTAATTGGAATTTAAATAAAAATTTTAAAAAAAGAAATCACAGTGCACTACTTAGATAACAATCTAATCTGCTTTTCCCAAAAGATATTCTGAATAGGAAAATAGTTGGGGCCAAGTTAGACACCAAAGGGTTTAAATGCTAAAATGAGCAATAAGAAAGGAGATTACACACACACACACACACAAATGCATGTATATGTATATGTAAATATACACATGTATGCATATGTATATTACCCAAATTAGAGAAGTATCATTCATTATTCATGAAGATAATATTTATGACTGTCCACTATATGTGAGGTACCATTCTCCACCCTGGGGTTTTATCAGTAAACAAAACAGAGAGGTTACATTCTAGTGGGAGTATATTGTCAGATTAGATTTTACTGATCATAGCACCTAGCGCACAGGATATGCTTACCTCTTCTGACTATAATGTGGGATGTTATCTGTATCAGTCAGTGTTTGGTAAGAGGAGAACAGTCCCTTGAGTAGTATGGAAGAAGGGACTTCTAGAATTGAGCTCGCACAGTTATGAAGAGCTGGTGGTGGAGTTGGGGCCATTCGCCAGTCAGGCCGAGAAACTCAGAGTCCAGGCTAAGAAGGGGAGCCGAGGAAAGGGTGCTGGAAGTGTGGCCTTTGTGCAGCAGTTGCCTCGCTAGTCAGCCTCTGGTGGGGGGCCTGGGCCAGCTGCTGGTCAGCAGTTGGGAAGAGGAGCTGGGCATGGACCGCCTGGAACCCGCTGTGCACCCGTGTGTCTGCCCGTCTCTCATCTGAATGTGATGACCAGCCGAGAGCACGGGCTGCTCCATCACGTCTGCCCTAACCAGGGTGACGCAGCCCAGAACCCCACACCTGCCATCATGGTGACAACATGGTGTGCCAACAGATTCTAGGGTGGTCCTCGTGATTCCTGCCTCTGAGCGTCCACACCTTTGTAGAACGCCCTCCACCTGGTGCAGGTGGCACCTATGACTTGATTCTACTCAACAGAACACAGCGAAGGTGATGAACATCACTTCCGTGACTATGTTACGTTCCATAAGGCTCAGTCTTCAGCAGACTGGAGCTAGAGAGACCCTCCAGCTGGCCCTGAAGAGGCAAACAACCATGTTGTGAACTGCCTATGGAGAGTGTGCCTTGGAAGGAGCAGCACAGCGCAAAAGACAAACCAACCCCCAGGCCTCACCAGTACTCACTGCCAGCTTCTGGTTGCACCTTCCCTTGTCTCGCCCTGGTACAAGGCTTCTCAGTCTCGGTGCTGTGGACACTGCAGGCTGGAGAACTTCGTGTGCGGGGAGCCATTCTGTGCATTGCAGAAGGTTTAGCAGCATCTCTGGCCTCGACAAACTAAACGCTATTATCATTCACCACTCTCCGCCCCAGTTACAGCAACCAGAACTGTTTCCAAACATTGCCAAATGTACCCTGAGGAGTAAAATTGCTCTGAGAACTGCTATTCCGGTATAAAAGCTAGTATAGTGCTGAGTGCTGTGTGGCCAAAGGGAAATCTTTAAAAAGAGAAAGATACTGGGGCGCCTGGGTGGCTCAGTCATTAAACGTCTGCCTTCGGCTCAGGTCATGGTCCCAGGGTCCTGGGACCGAGCCCCGCATCAGGCTCCCTGCTCAGCGGGAAGCCTGCTTCTCCCTCTCCCACTCCCCCTGCTTGTGTTCCCTCTCTCGCTGTGTTTCTCTCTGTCAAATAAATAAAATCTTTTTTTTTTTAAAGATTTTATTTATTTATTTGAGACAGAGAGAATGAGAGAGAGAGAGCACATGAGGGGGGGAGGGTCAGAGGCAGAAGCAGGCTCCCTGCTTGGAGCAGGGAGCCCGATGCGGGACTCGATCCAGGGACTCCAGGATCATGACCTGAGCCGAAGGCAGTCGCTTAACCAACTGAGCCACCCAGGCGCCCCAAATAAATAAAATCTTTAAAAAAAGAGAGAGAGAGAAAGATAAGCCTTGGGCACAGTTAATTTGCACACTAGAAAAATCTATTTTCTAAGCACACACCCCCAAAAGTCAAAGCTGGTATTTGCAGTCCTAGGTTCAATGGCTTTTTCATCTTGCTTGCCAGCTAATAATGAAGAAAGTGCTCATGTGAATACATGACAGGTACAAGTTCTTTGGAAAACAAGACTATATTTCAAACAATCCGTGCAGGATTTGACTTAACCATTAAATAGCACGGTGTAGATGTAAATCCTGTTCAAACAGCTCCTATCCTGCAGGAGAATCTGTGGAAAGATAGACCTTGAGAAATGCTTCATAAGTGACTAAATATACAGTGGATCTTTCTGAAATATTTGCTTGAGGTCCCAGAATCTGTTCTCATCATTTTGGCAGAAGCTGCCATGCCATTAAATTATTGTGGCCCAACTGATGGTATAGGATATTAATGCTAATATGAAATCCTATAAGGGGCACCAATTAAGCACAGAATCATTTTGAAACACATAATCCAAGATACAGTGCTACTAGGATAATAAGTCCTCTGGTAACAGAGCTTTTTTTAAAAAATAAAATTGGCCAAAATATGAATGAATGAGTGAATGAATTAGTTCTTGCAACCTGTCTTTATTGAAAAACAACCACGCATCAGGCACTGCTGTCATTTCTAGAGACATAATAGGTAAGGGGAGAGATTTAGTGACTGGGGTTACAGAAATGATAAGGCTCCTTGTTTAATAGAAGAGACAGAAGAATAGTTGCATAAACAGGAGCGGTGTTATAACAACGTTATGCGCAGGGCCCTGTGGGAGCAGAGAGAGAAGGCACCCAACTCAGCACGGAGATCAGTGAAGCTTCCCATCAGAAGGGAAGGATTCGTTTGCATCTGCCAAGTGAAAAACTAGAAAAGTGTGCCACAAGCAGAAAGAACAACAGGTGTGAACTTGAAAACTGTGATCCAGGGAAGACCAAAGGAGGGAACAGGTGAGCAAGTGGTAGGAAATGAGGCTGGATGGGGAGGAGGGGCCAGGTGACAATCGGCCTTTTATGGCATGCTAAGAAATTTTAACTATGTCCTGAAGGTGGTGGGTACCGCTTGGATTTTAGGCAGGGCTGTGACATAGTGGAAATCTGCATTCCCAGAAGGGCTGGCTTCTGCTCTTCTAGTCCACGGAGCATGGCCTAGACTTGGACAAATCCCAAGTTACGAAGACTAGTGGGCAGCAAGGGCACAAGCAGTGTTAAAGATACTCATGAAAGCTTGCATCGACACGGCAGGGATGGAGAAGAGAGGACAGAGGATTTGGGTAAGTTCTCACCTCCTGGTGTTGGGTCTATAAAGGCTCTCAGGGCCTGCCTCTCAGGAAGGGAAGAAAAGCAGAAAGAAGTAACCTGCTTGGATTCTGCAGGAGGTAATGCACATCTAGAACACATTCCTAAATGTCTCAAATAATTACTATTACTATCATAGTCATATGATTTAGAGTGTAAGTTTACTAGTCCCATAAGGAAAGATGTCATTTGGAACACATATTCATTAAAAAGGAAGTCTCATGCTTTACAAATCTGTCTGTGATTGTCAAATCTTGCCTTTAGTATCTCTGAGGAAGATCATCCGAGTAGATGTGCGTGTAAACCACACTTCATTTTTCTCTCCTAAGTCTACTCTGTAGACATCATCACTCAGTACAGCAAACAATAAGTAATCTATTTTATACATTTGTGCCAAATAAAAACTGCTAGATTCAGTTATATTTCAAGTGGCAGAGCAATAACCCATAAAAACGGAAAGTAGCAAGATGTTCAAACTAGGTACGTAAACACAACTTTTCAGGAATATATTTATTGTGGATGTCAAACTCTCTTCTGCTATAATAAAAACGTTGTTTAGCTATGTCATGCTACTGACTTGGCACTGCTTTGTAATTTAAAGCAAAGACTTGTGCCTCACCCATTTCAGGCCCAACAAATGGGCTAATTTTAAAATGATGGGAAGCAGAGATAGAATGTGATAACTTCACTCATATAAATGTAGCCTGGACAGACTCAACAATTTAGAGCTGACTTGCCCAGAAACCTCCAGAACAGTACTTATTAACACCTAAATCATTTAAAGTGGAATGAACTGTAGATCAAGTCTGAACTAGCAGAATTGCTCCAGTTGTTTCTATTTTCAAGTTATCTAGGCTGATCTAAAGTTTAAATACATTTTCAAGCTTAATTAAATGAAACACTTAAATTATACAAGCATTTAATACTTAATTGGAAATTGAAAAACAGATACCATGAAATCCCTAGGTAAAAAGAAAAATGAAGTAACATCTGCTAGTCCCATTTCTCTGTCACTTGGGGATGAATGTGTTTATAAAGACCCACATTTTAAAATAACCAAATGCCTCTGAAATGATTTTAACCTTTTGCACAGTATTGCTGATCAATGGAAAGGCCTGGAGACACTTGCAGAGCTGTTACCAAAGAATGTTTCACGGGGGCATCAGGATGGCTCAGCACCAACCACAGGTGTTCTGAGGATCACTTCTTGGAACTTGGAAATTCTGGAAAGGTAGGAGAGAATCCAATTCCTGATCACAGCTATTCCAGGATCCAAACAGTGCTTACTCTTTTGGTATGAATTTTATAGTGATCCATTTATGAAAACTTTCTCCCTGACATTTAGCAGTGCTATTTTATAGTAATGAAAAAGGAAAGTGATTTTTAATAAGTAATGGAAAAATTACAGCACAGCATCTTACACAGACTCAACACACATTGCTGAATGAATTACTAAGTGAGATCACCCTTCCCCCCAAAATAGAGCATAAGAAACAGAATTCACAAATGGCCAGAAGCCTTAAAGGTCATCCACCTTGGCATCTCATGGCACCACACACACCCAACTTTAAAGATGAATAAACTGAGACCCAAGGACTTCAAATAATTTGCCCAAGGTCATGAAGTTAATTTAGTAGTCAATCTCTCTAATAAATAAATAAAATCTTAAACACACACACACACATCTTGCCAGGTGGAAGCAACCCAAGTATCCATGAATGGATAGACAAAATGTGGCATATACATACAAAGGAATATTAATCAGTCTTAAAAAAGAAGGAAATTCTGACACCTGCTATCACATGGATGAACCTTGAGGGCATGATGCTAAGCTAATCACAAAAAGACAAATACTGTAAGATCCCACAAATATGAAGGGCATGGACCTGTCCAATTCACAGAGACGGAAAGTAGAATGGTGGCCACCAGGGGCTGAGGAGAGATAAAATGGAGAGTTGTTGTTCAGTGGGTTGAGTTTCAGTTTTACATAATGAAAAGAGCTCTGGAAATGTATGGTAGTGATGGTTACACAACAATGTGAGTGTATTTAACACTATTGAACCTATAAGTGGCACCAATTAAGCACAGAATCATTTCTCATCACCACTTGAAAATGGTTAAGATGGCAAAGTTAATGTATGTGTATTTTACTTGAATTACACACACACACACACAAACACACACTGTCCAGATTGCCAGACTCTACCCCAAATTACTGCTATAGTGGGTCTGAGGTGGAGTCTGAGAATTTACATTGCTCATAAGTTCTTAGGTGGTTCTAATGCTGCTGGTTCGGGGTCTACATCCTGAGAGCCATGGTGATGAACAAAGTTGGTGACAGCTCCAGCATCTCTATATTAAAGGAGTTTATGGGTAACAATCTGGTTGGAAGAAGGATAAGGGGATTTGCCTTTCCAGTGGCAAGCATGCTGCCTTTCGATTGCATGGTTATTTGCAGAAGCTATAATGGGAGAGCTGAAGAAATGATAACCAGCCCCCCCCCCGCCCCCGCCAAAGCCACCGCTTGGTGACAAGCCATACCTAGCTAATTGCTCAGGGCAGCTCAAAAATCCTAAGTATAAAGGGGAAAACCTAAAAACCTGACATTTTTGCACTTAACAGACACATTCTCCTTTTATAATTTTTTAATTGGAAAAAGAACAAGTAGACATTTTTGAAAGTGTACAGAAAAATATGAAACGTTAATCAAGTGAAGGGCCATATATCGAATACCTGCTATCAAGAGAACAGATATTTATTGTTGTGTGCAAATTAAGCATGAAGCAATGTGATAACCCCTATCAAATTAAAATTCGTAATACTCCCTGGGGTGTGATAGAACAGCAGTCTCATCAGCCACTGTTGAGAATGTAGACAACTACAAACACCTTGTATGTCAAGTACCTATAACCTTGCACTCAGTAATCCCACTTACAGAGATATACCCTAAAGAAATAACAGTGTCGAACATAAGAATATTTATCACAACATAATATATACCAGCAAGACCTGGAAACAACCTAAATGTGAAGATGGAGACCAGTGAGGGGCGAAATTGATTACAGTGTATCCAGACAACAGAATTTGCAGCTGCAGATGATTCCTGTTCTTTGGGGGCTGCTCCACCACCTTTCCCTCGGGTACTTCAGCTTCCTTCATTCTGTTTGTCTCTGACAGTACCGTCAATCAAGAGACACCCCCACCCCGCCCCACCTACACACCCACTTCTAACATAGGAGAACTGTTCAAGTGTTCACGACTCATTCAG